GAAAAGAATGTATTGGAAAATTCCTTGTCACTGGGAAATAGTAGGTTGCTTTAATTCTTAGCAAACATCTTGTGATTGCTTGCTGAAACCAATTCTGATACAAATAGCCACCCTTCTGATAAATAACCACATTCTTGATCATAAGCTGAACTTACTTCCCCTTATCAGGAACCAGTAGGTGCCACGCAGGCACAGAATCAAAAGACACGACCACTACATAACTTTCCTGGGTGGCAGTATTGGGCCAAAACCATCAACCAGGATGTGAACCGCAGTCATTGAGGAACAAGTCATGTCAACCTCACACTGTGCAACCATCCTGGTAACATTACCTTGATCAAACAAAAATGGACTCCAATTCCATCTTGGAAACTTGATGTGTACGCACCCTGTTTTACACACTCCCACCTTTTCAGAAAAAAATCCCACCCATTCCCAGAAATCTGATGGATATATATAACTTCGCTATTTCTCTAAAACCTATAAAACCCTGAAGCCACTCCCCTTTGGGGAGGCAGTTGCTTAGCAGCTTTTTAGCCCACAGTGTCTCCATTTTTACTTGTCAAGTAAAAATAAACATTCTTGAGAAAACTTTTGCTGTCTCCAGCCATTCTTAGTAGAGATAGGCAAGGATTCTTTGAATCCAACAGAAATCTCTAGCCCTTTTATATAACATTTCTGGTGACCATAAAGGGACTCCTTTGTCCTGAGCCAGACAACTGTAAGGTGTGGGATGATGGAATCCCCAGATGGACAAGTGGCCACCTGAACCAGTTTGTTCAGTGTCCTTCCAAGTGGTGAGTTCTCCCTGACCTTACAGTAACTGGGCATGACTCAAGTAGCTTTCTGCTTTCTCCTTTTCTTTGTACTTCTCCTTTTCCCTGGTTACCTTCTGTTTTTTTCTCTCTGCCTGTGTCTGTTTGGAGTAAGGCAAAGTTTGAGGGGTTTGAGTCCTCAAGATATCTATTAAAGATTTACTTCCCTGGGTCTGATCACCCCCAGGGGACTTAGGGCATGGCACTCCCTTCCCATGTGTCTGAACTGGTGACCATGGCTGAGGATGTTCAAGTCTTCCCAGAAACCCTGGTCAACTGTGACTGAGGGCATATGAGTCCTTCCAGAGCCCTGGCCATGGCTCTAATATTCTCGTGTGCACTTTCTTACCTTCCGCCCCCCTTCCTTCTCTCCCGAATTGTATTTGAAAGTTTTCTCCCTGGCTGACCAAGGTCATTCTGAGGCTGTCCACCTAGACTATATTATTTCCTTTAGTCTGTTCTGGGAAGTAGAGCCTTCAGCTTGACTAGCAAGTGTTAAACCACCTCCATTTCTGGTTTTTCTCCCACAGGCACCCATCCAGTGGATTAGATGGGCAATTTTGATCCACTTAGCCCATTTGGGCTGCACCTTGGCTGGACAAGTTAACCAGACTCTATTTCTTCACCATGGTAATGTTTTCATTAAGGACTGGGTAGCCCAGGGGAACTATCAGCAGGGGTTCCCCTTTATTGTGGGAGGTAGAAGACTTGAGTTGGGAACTGTAATTTTAATACAGCCCATTCTTCATGACTGCACACTCCCCCTGGTCCACTTTTAAGAGAGGATACACCGCATGGTATTGTCTGAGGAAGAGGAATGGGGAACTAGCTTAGGATCCTGAGGGGCTTACCCTTGGGATGTATACTAGACACTTGGCTTCCATTTAGTAGTTGATGGCCTGAAGAGGAAACTTATTTTCCTCTGTAACAATGCCTGGCTGCACTATTAGCTAGGAGATCAGGAAAAATGACCCCTGTCCTCGTTACCTAGTGCTGCTCTGACAAGAAATATACCACAAATATACCACACATATACCACAGGACTTTATTCTTACAATTTGGAGGCTTTAAGTCCAAGTTCAAAGTTCTAGGCTCTTGGGGCTGGGTCCTCAACCTTGGGGTCCAGCTCTGCCTCCTGCTCCTAGCCCACTGGAGCTAGAGGCGTTTCTTCACTCAGATTGCTGTTGGCTACTGAGGCTGAGAAGCCCCAAGGTTGACAAATCAAAAGGCACAGTCCCAATGTTACCAAACCACACGGCAGGCCATTAACTTAAGTACATTGTAAGTCCCAAGGTAGGCAGAGCATAGCAAGCTGCTGAGCAATGACATGGCTACATGCAGGGTCCGAGTGTGCCACAGGCTAGAGACCATTCCCAAGGCTTCTCCTTATATACAGGAAGCAGACCATATCCCAAAGGCTGCTTATGGTAGATCCCACCATGGAGTTGATCGGCAGTCTCATTATGGGGAATACTACCACCAGCTGCCCAACCAGTCAACCAGGCCCAGCCAAGCTGACACACAAACATAACCATCACAACCCCCTTGCCCCATCAAGTCCCAACCAGCCTAAAGCCTCAGGATATCCTGGAGCATGTTCTTGCAGTGAGCTGACATCAGAAATGAGTCCTTCTCCTATGAGGTTAAGATCTGGGCCTAGACTTCAACCTTCAGCTAAAAGCCAGTATAGGCTACTCCCTTTAAGACAGGTAGTAGATAGGAATAGAAGAATAACCTGAATCCATGTACTTTTCTCAGTCTCTGATTTAAGTCAATTTAAGGAGAAATTTGGGAGCTTTTCTAAGAACTGTTAAGTTCTGGGATGAATCTGTGAATTAAGCCTAACTTTTAACTTAACTTGAGGAGATGTTATTGTGATCTTAATCAACTGCTGTACCCCTGATGAGAGAATTATCATTTTAACTAAGGTCAGAGAACATGCAGATTGTCTGGTCCCAACTAACCCCCATCACCACATCATCCGAGCAGGTGGAGATGCAGTAGCAGAGATGGATTCCCATTGGGACTATGAGGATAATGTGGGGCAGGCCCACATGAGACATATAATTACTTGTGTTTTGCAGGGCATGAGAAAGTGTATTTCTAAGCCAGCAAACTATGATAAGATTAAGGAAGTAACTCAGGAAAAAAGAAGGAAAGCTTGCTGTCTTCCTCAACAGGGTTACTGAAGCCCCTAGGAAATTTACTAACACTGATACTGAATGTCAAGAGGGTTGCACCTTAGTGGCCATGCATTTTATTACCCAAGCAGCTC